AGTGATATCACCATAATCTCCTCTATTTCCTAAGGTTGTTTTGTGAACAACTCTCAGTCGCTCAGAACTAAAAAGACGCTTGTTTTAAGCAGCTGCAACCAGATTTAGACAATCGCGACGAGAGTGAAATTTTAGTTCTAACTTCCATTTAACGGCTAGCGAGTAATTTAGCTACAATTCAAATCAGCGTTTTACAGAAATTTTCGGAACATCTTCGGAAGCCTCAAAAGCATCTGAAAGTTATCTACAGCGTTTGCCATGTACGCAGGAAAATTTTCGGAAATTCGAGTGCATTAACATAGGAAGGGAAATCTCTTGGACCTCAGTTGCATTGAAAAATAGTCCGAAGGTCTACTCGGACAATACGTTAATAGGTTTACACATAACAGGCATATGACTGGGATTTTACAATACTGCTAGATAGCTTTCAGCTTGGAGAACTTTAGAGATCAGAGTAACTGTGTGTCAAGCAACTTACTTCAATATGATCCAGTAGTCTTCCCGGAGTTGCGACAAGAACATTAACACCTTTTCTTAATCTGAGAATAAAGACCCATGATACTCAAGTCAAGAGGATTCTTTTTGATGCTCATTAACTTCCATGTTTACGAAATGTAACCCGACTGGGACAGAGTGAGAAAAAAAACACTCATTACATATCTACCTGGCTTTCTCCGATTTTCGTTTTTCTCCTCCAGTGACTACTCCAGGCACAACCCACTGAAATGGCTATAAAAGAAAACAATGATGTTTGAGTTAAAGGGCTCTCAATGGCAACAAGAATACTTATAGCAGGGCTTTCAGTTACTTTATCCATGCAGCTCACAATGATGAAATATGCCGCTGTGCCCACAAAAGGGGCTGTGAGGGGAAACACAGGAGAGCAGGCTAAACAGATGGCTGTAAGAGGTCCTATAGGCAGCAATAGACTGTTATAAACTGGCTTTTATTGACAACCTGGTTATTGCATACTAAAGTATACCAAAGCATACTAAAGAATGAACTACGAAGTTATGAGACCCTGTTGCAAAGAAGAAGCTGCAGGCAAGTAAAGCAATACTGACAGTTTACACAAACTCGTTTTAACAAAAAAAAAACAATATTGAATAAAACGAATACAATTTTTTTAACACAAGCAAAAGAAAACTGCATATTACACAATGCAAGTAAGAAAACATAGTGTGCCTTTGTGCAAGTATGAGACATACCTTTACAAGTCTCTGCAGCACATTGAAGCTTTGTATGGCAAGCTACAGTAACAAGAAAATTAAGAAATCATAAGGTTGGCATGCCTATAACGAAATCAAAATAATTGATAATTATAATTCAATTACTAAATGGCCCTCACCATTACAATTACAATTGATTTTCATATTATGTATAACAGTAAATAATAATTATTAATAATGTATGAAAATGTATGCATCTGTCTACAAAAAAATTAATTCCTATGATATGTGCAATGACTACCTCTCTTGTGGGGACCAAGATCACTGCATAAGGACCATCACTTCTCTAAAGAACGACAAAAAACTGAGACTGTGCAAGGAGAGATCTTCATTAAAAGGTAAATTAGGATGAAACAACATAAAACCATTATAGTCATCAAACCAATGCAAATGACTTTATAAAAATAACAATCTAATTTGCACTGAGAAGACAGCAGTTTGCACTTATTGAACTACAACATTTTCATTAGTCACTTACAGAAATTTTTGGAGTGATACTCTGTAGTGAGTGTATCACAGGCACTGCGTAAGTGAGAGTTTTTCCTAAAAATAACAGTAACATACAAGTTAATTCAATATCACTATTACAAAATATAGGTCATTGGCTGCTGATTTGAGACAGCATTAATCATTTTATCAGAAATGGGGGCAATGATGAGATGGACCCCCCTTAAATTTACAAAAAAATATCCAATTTAAAGTTCATCTATCAAATATACATGATACCTGCTTCTGAGTTGAAAAAGGGTACTTTTCAAGAACAATTTGGCACATTTACAAGACCTTACCTGTTCCTGTTTTCGATTTCACAAAAACATCCCTTCCTTCGATTAACAGGGGAATGGCAGCTTTTTGAACACTTAAAGCAAGAAAATAGTTACATTTAAAAGATTAACTTTCCTTGAACATATGAAAAATTCTCATGAAAATTTAGTTTTGACCACACTGTTTATAATAGTTCAGCATACATTTCAAACAAACATTCATATTTTGATGCTATTACAAATACCTCAGAGCAAAATAAACCTGAATGTGAAATATCTTAATATTCTGTACCTTGTCATGGTGGTGAGTTTCAAATTATTTTCAAGATTGGAAATCTATAAATAGAAAGCAAAACACAATTAACCATAAGATAAAAATTTTGACATTCCCCCACACCCAAGAACTAACCATAAACAATTCTGTAAAGGGAATTAAGTACACCTAATAAAACTATAAGAACCAGCCAGTTTCAGAGAAATCAAGTTCTGTTCAAAGTGTGTTTTTAATCATGGCTTGTCTTTTGTTTCCTGGCCCCCTTTCAAAAATGTTTGTAATTAGTTTACCAACAACTGAGCAATGTTTCATCATTTACATCATGATAGCTTTTAAAATAACTAAAAGTTAGTTATAATATTACATATCAAATAATTATGCATGTCTTACCATGAAAGGAGAAACATCTAAGTCACTAAATTTTTCAGCAGAAAAAACATTTTCACATGATGTCCCATCTGCACTGGATGATTCATTACTACAACAATAAAACTATGTGTCAATTATAATTGTGCTTCATGCCATCATAAAACTTCATGTATGTCAAACAAACACAGCCTGAACAGACATACAAAATATACAGAAGGTACTTAGTTGGCCTGCTTATCCAAGTACTTCATATAAAAAAACTTTCTCAAAAGATAGTCAAGAGCATGGTACACAGTGACGGAAAATTTTGTCATCCCCAATATAATTAAGCTTTGGAACATCTCATTTTGTGTTTGAAATGTATTCACTTTACCACTGAGATGAGAGAACTTATTTTAAGAGGTGTGATGTAAACCAGGGCCATTAATGATAGGTGCCCACCAAACTTGTACTTATACCTATAGGAGGATTAGCCAAAACTGCAATTAAAACCAACCTTGCCAGTAATGTGGGTATTTCTGGATTGTAGTTAAACAAACTTGAAATGACCTGTTATATATATATTGAAAAAAAGTAAATCTCAGAAATGGTTTGGTTTGCTATTCCTGAAACAAAAAATATGTCTATTAAAATTGAATGCATGTACTGAGCTAACTGCATTTCAAAATTGACAGTTACTTCTACAATTACCTGAAATTTCTTCTTTGATTGTCTTCGAGGAAGGATGCCATTTTGAGTTGCAAAAGATCGTTTAATTTCATTCTAAGGATCACAGAAATTAACAATCAGTGGGCACAATAATGGTTACTTGGACTAACCATGATTTTTTAACTATTTTGAAACCTTGAAAACAATATATATAACTGAAAATAGATTTCTCACATACACTGCACCTTCTCTTGCATATTATTGGTAGCCTTTTGTAGCTAGCTAAGATAAAGTAAGCATAGATTTAGAGGCAGACCACCAGACTTTTAGTAAAAACTGTAGCGCTATATTCTCATCATTATTCATTTCAATACACCAAATCTATTTCCCTGGAACCACACACTGACATAAACTCTGCTGTGCTGTTAAACCCTATCCGAAAAACCTCATTGCTCATCCATTAGAGGGTTGTGATAGCAGTAACAAGATTTTGCCGCATGAATGAAAGAGACGTACATTTGCTGAAGTTCTTTTTTCCTCCTCAGATCCTTGGATGGGCTTATTTGGAAAAGGTGTAGATCTCCTCTGAGGGTGTCGTAATGGCTTAGCAGATACAGAAGCTGCATTCTTGTGAAAGGTTCCCCTCACATGTGGCCTTAGATATTGTTGTCTTTTCTGTAACTTTCTTTCTTTCCACTAGGAAGAAAAGGAATGGATAAACACCAGGCTAATCTGATGGATTAAGTTTGATTCAAAAGAAGATCGCGATGTCCAAAGAAGGTCTACTTGCACGCTGGTACACGTGGGCATGGATACCTAGAAAACCTTGCTTTCTAAAGGATATATTTAGGAAGATAATTTACCTTCGATTTTCTATCTTTACTTTCCCGATAAATTCCTTTATCCCCTTCACCATTAGAGCAAAGATTTAAAAGCAGTCCGTCATCAGCCATGGTTTCAAGCTGTAAAAGGTTAACTACTCTCGACCACCATGTTTATAAATATTATCTTAGATCGTCACGTGGAACTCAAAACGATAAAGCGGTCTTTGGCAAATCCGTCTTTTACTTCATGTAAAGTACGCTGGAGTTTATCGCCATGAGATAGCTTGTCCGCCCATTCTCAATGTGCTTTCATAAATAAACTCTCTACCACTGTAACCTTATCAGCTTACGGCTACCATTAGTTCGCTCTGTCAAGCAACCCTGTGAAAAACAGCACTAAATGTAACGAAACATAGAGATTGGCCAGCTATGACAACAACAACAGCCCATTTAGGCGACTACCAACCGATGCCGATGACAAACTGCTTGTTATTTCCAAAGCTGGAGGTCCGAATGGGAAAAAACTATGCATGAGGTCTTTTCCTGCGGGTTCCCTATTTTCCTCTTTGCCGCGAATGGCGCGGAAAAAGAAAATCAAAACCACAGTCCTCCGTCTCGTATAGAAAGGCGTAACCGGTTCTGAGCGCGCGATTAGCCAATCATAGCTGAGTCGAGGCTTTAAGATTCCGGTGCTGAGATGTTTCAGAGAAAGAATAGTATTCGACCCTTTAACACTTAAGATCTATAAAAAAAATCACTATATGCGATTCTTTTCTTCTAATTTTAGCTCTGTGAGTTTGATGTTGAATCCGCAGTCCCGTCCCCTCTCTGCATCAAAATGTTTTTATACCTCATCTAGGAGAAATTCATTTTTGATCACTTTTGAGAGTGAGAGGGTTCATGAAAAGTTGCGTTAATTTGATTTCCTGTTGCTTATTTAACCAAATATTTGCGAGTTGAGCGGATTGAAGTGGATATCAAATATACATAGTAGTTGCTTCATCATAATCGCGATTCGGCTCATTGACACGATAAAATATTTTTGTTGTATATCAACCTGATCTGAAATGCTTTGCATCCATCATGAGCCAGACCGCCTGGGGAAACTAAAAGAGTTTGAAACCAGATGTATTCAGTAGAAAAATCTTGATAACAGAGAACGACTTCAAGAAAAAATTGACATAAAGCTGATGGTGGATACGACCAGGCACTGATTGACGACTGACCTCAACCTAACAAAGGTTGAAAGATCTTTTTAGAAGGAGTTTATTACGGTTTTGTAAGGATTTCTAGCCGTAATGAATGTGCAAAACAATAATTCTGATGGGGAGGACAACATATCGCCTGCGATGAACCAAGCTTACTACGAGGAGCCATTTGTCCTTATGGCCGCTCGCCTAACTTTCGAGGTGATGTTAGCCCTCATGGGCCTTGTTGGGAACATAACGGTATCATTTGTGATATCAAGACAACGAAAATTTCGCTCGGGGCTGAAACTTTACATTAGAAATCTGGCCTTGGCAGACATTGGGATCTTGGCTATCAGTTTTCCTATTGCCGTGGTGAAAGAGCAGCTTCCACTGCATTGGCCATTTGGTAAAGTGGTATGTTTATATTTTTATCCCTTAGCAGAAGTCTTTCATGGAGTCTCCGTTTGGTCCATTACCGCTATAGCTATTGAACGCTACAGAAAAATCACTACCTCTAACGGATTTCGTTACAGCACCTATATCTCTACAAAGCCTTTAAAATGGGGAATTGTTGTGATTTGGATCGTTTCGTTTCTTGTTGTGACTTTCCCGTTGCTTTTTGTGATGAATTTTGTGGAAAATGCTACTGAGACGTACTGTGATGTCGTTTGGTCTCACGCAGTGCACAGTGTATACATCATATCTTTGACAATCTTTTGGTACCTGCTGCCTCTGGCAATCATCGTTTTTACCTATGCTAAGATTACCAGACAGATACAACAAAGCAACAACTTCCATAGATCAAGTATTAAACGGCGTTCAAGGGAGAAGAACGTCCGAGATCCTCGTATTTCTATGCGTTTTGCGGAGGAGGAAAAGAGAATGCGGCAGAATTCGAAGGCCAAGAAACTTCTCACACCCATAGTGCTAGTATTCACGATCTCCATGCTTCCACTGAATTTTCTCCGAGTTTTGCTGCTATTCTGGGAAGAATTCTTCTTCGAGAAATTCTTCTGGCTCATCTATAACATCTGTGTTATTGGTGTTGTAATTAACTCAGCATCCGATCCGCTGATCTATTCAATAGTGTCTAAGGATTTCCGATTGGAGCTGAAGGAAATCTCTTCTCGGTTTACCAATAGGTTGCAGAATGTCGTTAAGCTAAGAAGAGATAAGAAAAATAGCATTTGTGACAAGAAGTTCGAAACGGGTGGAATCCCTCGAGAATACAATCTTGACGAAGAGAGTGCAATTTTAGTTACCCCCGTTTAAAAAATATGTACTTGCTGTGAAAACACAAAATTAATGAGCGGACATTAGCGCTGCATTATCACTGGCACCATATGCTTGTGCAAATTTGTAAATAAACACATGATTACTCCATTATCTCCAGATGATGATATTTGTACAAATTTTAGCAATCATAAAGTTAGATCGTTGTACGTGATGTCAATACCATGTCATTAGAGAAAGTTTCTTTCATGCCTAAGGACTTTCAAGTGGTTATCTACTTATGTAAGTGAAATATTGACAAGCTGATTGCGAAAATGTAAAGAGCAACGTAGACATCTGCGATATTTCTGTCATTACGGAAGACGTCGGTGACAGAGAACAGTCTAGATGTTGCAGCTGGTCAGTTCGCCCTTTCATTACTCAGTGACCGAAAAGAAGTTTCTCCGTACGATATTTATTTTAAACAAAAATGGGGCAGAAAGGAAGATTATTAAATATTGGTACACCAAAATCTCATGAAAGATGTCTGATATACAATGCAGAAAATTTATAGGTTGATCTTGGGAGTGAAACGGTGGGGTTCATGATGATAAATCTCCCACACGGCTCCCAACTGGAATATATGACCAGATGTACAGGGAATTTTTCAATCAGGGGACTCTCGAAGTAACGTGTTTTGTACGTAAATCAAAATTGTTTATAATAGCTTCGCTGTTTCCTTCACGTGGACCGAAATATTGCCCAATAAAAGCTGTCTGAAGCAAGGGACTTTGACTGTCTTGTCGCTTTAAGTATTATAGAAAATTCGCGCAAAAAGGAGGTAGGGAACTTTTCAAGGTCTCTCCCAAACTGTGAACAAAGGCAAGCCTTCGTGTACTTAGCACCAGAAGCTAATCATCCAAGACACTTTCGTTGATGAAAAATGGATCCCATGATCCGAGATCGACTGTTGTTATGTATCATGAATAAGAACACCAGATAAAATCCATCACTCTCTAGTAGAGAGGACATCAAGATTACGCACACTTGAAAAGGGAGACAGAGGAGGCATAAAACGTATTGTTGAATGCTCTTTTGTGTTAAGTTCTCACCTCAGCCTTCCAACCCACGAATGGGGACAAAGACAAAGTATTCATAATAATATATCACTCCCTACAAGTTTTTCTACCACAACGAGATCCAAAGTAATGAAGCAAGGATTCTGTACTATTGTCATTTTATTTCTACAAATATGTCGTTCGTTTTCAACGAAACTAATATTGCACTATTTGTTTAATTTTTATCCCAGCACAGATTATCTGAATAATTGGGTAGCCATTCCCGCGAAAGCCTTCCTCTTGAACTCTGCAATCAAGAAAAAACTCATGAATGTCCCTATCTGTTCCAATGTTTAATGTAGTGTTTGTTATTTTGAAAAACAGTGTGAAATTGGGCCCCAAGAGCGAAACAGACGCCTGAGCCGAAATTCGGAGCTTCACGAGAGGTATGATGTCCACACTATTTGTAGCGAGCTCATTGTCGCTGAGAAAATGTCAATTCAGTGTGAGGGGCAAAATATGACGCTGAACAAGTAAGGTATAAACGTGCAAATTCTATGCTACAATCACGCTCTTCAATAGTTCGGCGAACACAAGCACTCGTCTAGAAGAATGGGACGGGGAGAGTTGGCGCGAATTCAAAATTTGACCGACACGAGAGGCGTTTATTTAATGGGAAGCGGTCAAAGATTGTTACGAATTAACATTAAAATATCAATTAATATCACATCGATACCAAATTTATTAATCATGCAAACAAGTTTAAAGACTAAATTCAACTAGGAAGTCAGTACCAAAGAACGTATATCTTTATACCTGACTTTTCAACAGTTCGGTTGTTCGAACCGCACAGTGCTACCGTCCCTCTTCTCGCCATTCTCGTCAACACACCAACAATATCCAGTGCTGGCCCAACATTGCGCTGGCTCAAATGAGCCATCTTCCTTGCAGTGTGGAATAAACTGTCCTAGTAAAGGACCTTTCGCTAAAGCCTCCAGTCTTGTCTTTTCACACTTCGATGTGACAGCTGAAAGTACGATAAAAAAGAAAAGATTCGATTGGAAATGCAACTACAAAAAAACTAGCCGAAACACAGTGCATAGTTCCAAGTTTAGGTGTCGCTGCTAATTCCAGTTTCCATCAGAGAAAGAAGCGACTAGATGTGAAGTCAACTTGATCGCAGGCAACTCACAGCAATGATTGTGGCACTGAGAGATAAAGTGTCTCGCTCGGCACCACAACCATATGACCACAGAAAGCGATCAATCTCAGACTTCTCGATCGAATTTGAACCAGCTGGACATTCATTTACAGTTACTCAGTTATTTCTAAATTAATCTATCTCTTAAATTATTTGATTATTCGAGCATGAACGCTTGCTTACACCAATCTATTCACTAATTCCCTTACTCGTTAACCCTTTCATTCACAGACCCATCAATTAACACATTGTAAAATTAAAAAAACAGCAAATGATGGAAACGTACATTCACAATCTGGTTGTCCAGATTTTTCCGTTCCTTCGATCTTTTTTCCCTCCTTGTCCACGCAGTAACACTTCCCAGTGTTGGCACAGCACTGCACTTCCTCAAAACTTCCGTCCGGTTTGCATCTCGGAGGTCCACACCAGCCGGGAACGTTGACGATGATTGCTTGAAGGCTTTGGCAAAAAGAAAGGACACCTGTGGTAGCAAAAATAAAGAGAAAATATGGCTTTCTACTGTATCAAAGGACAGTTCAATCTTTTAGGGGTTGGTTCAAGCTTAACTTGCGTACATCGAAGCCGGGGTTCTCACTAATGTAAGATGAAGTAAGCCGACGATTAGCTGACGATTAAAGCAGAGGTCAGAGTGCATTTTCCACCAGTGAAGTTTAAAAAAATGGACTTTATACAAAGTAAGCTGTTTTAAATATCCTTGTGTACGCATTATAATATGGCAGATTGTTAGCAAGGCGGAAACTAACGGTAAAATGTATTAAACGTTAGCTTGGTAGGGTGATGTAAATTTTAGGTTGGAAAGCAAACACGATTGTAAAAAAGACCTCGATTTGAGCATTAGCAAACTTTCGATTATGTCTTCTTGACAGAGAGCATCAACCATCTTCTTAAATATCTCGTTGCGGAAAAACGATCTCGCCACAAAAGCAAAAAAAGGCCGACCCCAAGCAGTTAAGTGGTAATGTTAACGGGCCTAATGGTGAATGATGAAAGGTAAGGGGTTCTTTCTCTAGATACATCCAAAGATGTAATTACACTACTATCTATCTACTACTACCTATCAAGCAGAGGAAATTTACCATTTCATTATTCTATCCAATTTCCACCGTTCTCCAGCCCTTTTCTGGAAAAAGGCGCAGCTTTATGTTCTGCATTACAGTTCAACGCTCAGTCGGGGGCGGTGTTTATCATGCAGTACTTACTTAAGGGCAGTGTTTTGATAGGCTAATGTGATTTGTATAAACAAAATAAGATTCAGGGTGAGTTTGATTCCAATCAGTTCGATTTCAAGTTACCTTTCTTACTGCAGTCTGGTTTCCCTCGTACTTTAGTACGCGGTACTTCAGTGCCATGTTCGTTCACGCACCAACAATACCCAGTTGATCCCCAGCACTGTTCAGGCTTGAAACTACCATCCACATTGCATTCTGGGACAAACGCTCCAACCAACCCTTCTAGTGAGGCTTGATCTCTTTGTTCTTCGCATGTTGTTGCAGCTGTTTTACAGCAAAGAGACAGAAACAAAAACAAAAAAACAAAAGACATAAAGCTTAATAGAAAATCAGGAGTCAAACCTCAACAAAGTGAATAATAGCAAAGGTATAAAATTAAAGAAATAGGTTAACACACATTAAACACTGAATGAATACATGTTTTTGAGCAATTTTCATAAAATACTTGAAAGAGGAAAAGTAGCATGATTGTGACCCACAAGAGAAACAAAACTTAAACAACTGAGTTAATAACAATAGCTATGAACAGAAAGAAAAAAGGTAAACAAAAACATGGAACATTGACTAAATTTACATTTCTGCAGTATTCAAGCAAGTTCTAATAGAAGTGAAACAAAAGATGCATGTTGACATCCACAAGAGGAAGCATGGAGAAAAGCTGATCTCTTTGTTGTGCAGTTTTTTAGAAGCACTTCCCATGATGTTGCATTCACGAGTGAAACATTGCACAGAACAAGTTTTATTGAGATAACTGAGTGAAAGAGCTCTGTGATAACACAAACATAGAATAATTAAAACAAAATTCTGCACTAATTCTTCTAGCTTGGTAAAGAGCAAAAATGTAAGAGAAGAGTCTGGTTGAATATTCATTAGAATTATTATTCAGTAGAATAGAATGAATGGAATGAAAGTGTTTCACTTGTGAATGCAACATCATGGGAAGTGCTTCTAAAAAACTGCACAACAAAGAGATCAGCTTTTCTCCATGCTTCCTCTTGTGGATGTCAACATGCATCCTTTCATTGAAAGGCTACAAAATGCAGTAGAATAGAATGAACGGAATGAAAGTGGAAACATAAATGAAACGGTTATTAACATAAACATGTTTTCCTTTATAAATAATACCAAATGATTATAATCTCTTGAATACTTCTTTCTTGTTTTCAGTTAACAAGCCTTTCTTCAGTAAGTCTTCACTTTGAAATTTTGTAAAAATCCTCAAAAAATCCTTTTAAGCATTTACTTTTCAACATTTCTGTTGGGTCATTAAGAATACAACAATCATGTTTAACTGCTCCCTAAGCAAAGAAAAAAATTATTGTATCACTCCCAGCATACCAGCACTGTGACTGTGCACATCTAGAGAGGGAACAATTGGATATGCCGTGCTCTGGTTTGCTCAGCCTTTAAAGCAGGTATTCTAGTGTATAAATTCTCACATTACAGTGTTTCAGTCATTTTGAACACAGCAGTGTGCATTGTTTATATTGTTTAAGCTATGGTGTATTGAGAAACATAATTGTCTATGTTGTTGTGTTTCTTGTTCAATGGACCCTGATATAATTATCACTGAACTGTGCTGTCCTAGTTTGAACTAAATTTTAAACCTCATCTGAGGGGCAAAAATCTTGTAACATGCCAAAGATGGATTGCAAAATAAGAAACAAGGATTGCAAACTTTACAACAGACTCAAACACCAAGTTATTGATTGTGTAAGCAAGGACCCATTTCATCGATAACTGGCTGCAAATCCACTTTCGACAAATTACACGCTAGTGTGTAACATGACTATACAGACACATATGGCTTTGTGATGAGTGTGTAAATCATGCATGAATATACATGTGTACGACATGTTGAATGATATTGCTTTTTTGTTTTTCTGTTTTTTCTTTGCCCACTTGCCGTGCAGGAATGGGGTGTTATTAGATTATCCATAGCCTCACACTTTCCTACTTCATCTGTGATGTCTCTTTGAATCCCTCCAGAATTAACTAAATCAAAGAGTTTACATCAATTGAAAACCCTGTCTTTGCTCGTGTTAAATTACAGCTGAAGGTGAAAGCTCACAGCCTCGACTGTTAATTAGTGAACTCACCTGCCTTAAAGAAAAACAAAAACCGTGGAGAAAAATAAAGTTTAACACAGAGAAAAGGTGCTCGTACACATTTACCGAACTCAACTTCAAAACGATAGCTTGTCGGAAAATATTATATCCCCTAGTAAATCAAGTAAACATTGAAAAACATACCGTTCCCACACGCGATTAAGGAAACCAATATCAGTAGGGAAAACATATCTTACTTCCCTAATTTAAGCCCAAAGAGTCCTCAGCTGATTTCATGTTGGTTGACAGTTGATGGGAGATCTTGTATCATTATCGTTAACATCCGGGAAGTTTGCACAATTGTTTAGCGTTCGTGTTATACAAGTTATTATGTCCCCGTGCAGGTTTTTTGAATTGTCACTACAACCACCACAAATATTCAATATACTACACCTGCTACAGATATTAACAGAAGTATTTTACCTGGTTTATATGCGTCTGGTACTAATCCTTGAAATTAATGAAACCGTGTGTTGTTGCTGAGATCGTACTGACAGGCTGAATGTGGTCTGGGACACTACGCGTATCTTACACCAATAACAAATCGCTCGAAGGCACGCTAAGGCAGGCTTTGACGCCAAACAAGCGGTCTGACTGCCAATCATTTACAACAGTCTTTAATTGAATAGAAAATAGCTAACAATGAGTCATTATTTGCCTTGCGGACTGCTGATTGTTTTTTGTATCAGTTTGCGTTGTAAAAGATCTGAAAAATGTTTTTCACTGAGAACTAATAATTAAACAGCAGGCCTAAATAATGGATTTCAAACTTGTCTCATAGCAGGATGGGACAATAAAGAGGCTGGCCCTATTAACATCTTCCTTTGACTTTCATGATGTTTCAGTGACAGTTTCCACAGGGTGATGCACGGCATCACGTCATATTCTAGGTTTCTATTAACAGAACAAACTGAACTTAACAGTTGAGTTGAAAACGTAAATTAGCCACCTTAAAAAGTTTAAAGGCTAACGTTTCGAGCATTAGCCCTTTGTGACAGTTGGGTGGAAACTGTCTTCTGGCTTAGATCATGATGTTTCAGCGACAGTTTCCACAGGATGATACACGGCATCTTGTCAGTTTCTCCTGCTCAGAACTGTTTCACAAAAACTTAATATCATATTAGATCTGGGTCACGTTCTTGACAAGTGACCCGTGGAAAAGCCAGGAGACGAAGAGCCTTTAAGCATCAATAGATCGTTAAGCGTAGCCATAAATAGCAGTGGAGAGAATGGTTTCACAGGATTTTCATTAAAGGTGCCCTGCACTAGGGTCTTACCGACATCTGAGGGACAAGCACATGTATTTTATTATTCTGAATAACGGTATCGCATTTTCTTAACCGTGTAGTCGACAGAGTCCACCCTAAAAGGTTTTGAAAAGGCCACTGCTCGTTGGACTAATAATAGTCTTTGCCTACTCCTGGTTCCAATTTCCTTGGCAAAATGATTTTCATTTGCTCTTTAAGCAACCTATGGTCGGCGTTTTGTTAATGTTTATATATATAAATATGTGTGGGTGCGTGTGCGTGTGTGTGTGTGTGTGGTCAGGCTTTATCAACATAATGATCAATTTGCGTGAAACCTCGCCATATTTAATATCTATCTTGAAACGGAATAATTGAATTCCTTTCTTACCAGTGTCTCTTTTTTTACGTATGCTTTTGTTATTGTTGTTTATTAAGATCTCCGTGATGCTGAATCGTCACTTTCGAGAGGGAATGGGAATTTTTCTCCTCGGGAACTTGGTTCGTTAAGGTGGTGGGCATCGCAAATCGAACTTTAAATTTTCATTCAAATTACACTTCCAGCGAAGTTCGCTGCAGTATACTTCCTTAATGATACCTCAGTCATTTTATATCATTTACGCAAACGTTTAGTCCCTGTGGTGTTTCATAGTACTAGTGCATGCTTGGAATGGGAAACTTGACACCCACGACATTTAACAATAGGAAAGCAACCTTCTCCGCTTGAACGCTTCCCGTTACACAATGCATTTCCAGTTCTCCGCTTTACCTCATGATCATTTCCCACTTATTTATATATCCGCTCCAAAAGATCTGTGCCGGCTAAGTTTACATGACTACGTTATGTTAAGCTTGAAGAACATGCGTTTAACTTTGAAAATGCTTTTGGTCATGCTTCTTTTAGTTGTCGCAGAAAACTTTTTCAATAACCCCTCCTTATTTAAGTGATTTTCAGGTCTTCGAAGCTTTACTTGAATAATGAGGCCATTGAGACAATCAAAACATTTTACCTGGACTGAATATTATTGATAGAAATATTACAAGAAAAGTGAACCATTTTACAAAGGATGTATTTTATCAAACAGGAGAAAATACTTTTGTTTTTACCTTTTTGTAGACGAATGGAACAAACTTAAATATTGAGAAATGTCCTAGTTTGACTCTCATAATCAAAACATTTGTTCATTGGCTTTTAGATTTTTCCTCATATTTCAGTTGTAGCCATGTCGTAATTAATAGTAAAGAAGTCGACTGAGAACCACACTCTAGTCCGACTCCCTCTTGTCTCTCTCAAAGTGACGCTTTGTCTAACAAATAATGATCAAGTTTCTCGACCGGGAGAGGACTAGAATTAGGCGATTTCTGAGTCCATCCAAAGCCGAGAACTTTAATTGAGCTTCTTCCCTAAAGCCGTTTCAGCGGACAATTGTGAATAAGAGATATAAATTCCTATTATATAACTATCTTGGATAGGACTGAGAAGACTTCACCCAAGTCAAATGCTAACCCAGCGTCGTGAAAACTCTTTAAATGGAGTTAACTGTTAGCCGTAAAACGGCCAAAAATTGTAGCCATTAGGCGTGCAAACTGGACAATATTAAGCCGTTTGTCGTTAAAAAAGTTAACCGTAACAAGTTTTCCTTTCAACAATGTGTCATTTTATGTTATTTGGGTGAACCGTGCGGTAGAATGGCCAAAATTTTAACCGTTAGCCATAGAAGCCATTACCGATGAAAGATGTATTCCTCAATTTGCTTTTACGGCTACCGGTTGAAATTTTGGCCATTTTATCCCATGGTTAACTTAAATAACATACTGAATGACACTCTTGTGTTTTTAATTTTTATGTCGTCACTACAACAGTTCCTGAGGCCCTATTGTAGAAGTTGAAAAATGATAGGGACACGACGTAGCTTAGGAAATAAAATTAACAAGGTACGGGCCGGGTACTTAAGCTTAAAATATAGATTCCGGAATATCTGGAATTATATACCGGGTATCTAGGCCAAAAATAATAACCATCATAAAAAGCATGTAATCAGCTTTCTTCTGAGAGACCTTTTTTCTTTAAAATACCCTCTAAAGGCCCGGGAAAGTCATACCCAAACAATTTAAAATCCAAATCAAACAGTTTCTTCAGCTGAAAGATTTCATCTATCGTCAATTGGGAGTAATACTTCAACATGTTCGACGAAGTCTTGGACGGGCGATAATCAGGAAATGTTACGTAGCCATCAACGCCAATAATCTTCAGGAGCGTTGGTGCCTCCTCGTCTAAATTCTCAAAGTGACCAATGAAGTCATAGTCCACTTCACACGGACATATCTGCTCGTATGAGCGCCAATGTTGATCCTCGATACCACGATCTTTTAGTTGTGTGGCGTTGGTTTCAATAACTCTATTTACAAATGCTGAAAATAGCGTTCTTCCTTTCTTAGTTTCTCGCTTTGTTCTGTCATGGAGAATAAATCTTTTGAACCAATCAAATTTAATTTTGTCTCGATATGCTGATGCCAGCCTCGCAAAAGGCTCTCTGACAAACATAGCTTTGTAGTAGGTGCTCAATATCTTCTGCCGCTCAAAAATGCTGTAGTCCTGAAGCCAAGAAAATAGTTTCTTTCGGTGTGGGATTCCTTCTAGTTTTTCGCCATTATTCTCAGCACTATAAAGGATTCGCTTCCAAGTTGTACATGAAACTTTGGGGATGAAGCAAAACACTAGTTTCAACTTTTCAATAACGATGAAACGAGTAAAGTCAGCTTCTTGGAGAAATAAAGGATTTGGTGGCTTCTTGAGGCACTGATCGCGCAGAAGCTGTCTTCTTTCTGTCATCACTAAACTAAACGACATCGATGGAGAATTGGATGTGAAGCCTATAAAAATAGGACAAAAATAGTGATAAGTACACGAGGAAGCCATATAATGATTGATCAAGGTAGTGATTGAGACAGTGGCTATGGATATGGCTATGATGACAGTAATGGCAATGGCCATTGCACTATCACTGGCAATGCCAATACCAATGGTGGTGATGTAGCACATGGAAAAATCAATGGAAATTCCATGTGCAATGGCGATGCTAATATAAATATAGCATTGGCAATGGCAATGGCAATGGCCATTGCACTATCACTGGCAATGCCAATACCAATGGTGGTGATGTATAGCACATGGAAAAATCAGGGGAAATTCCATGGGCTAAGGCGATGCCAGTATAAATATAGCATTGGCAATGGCAATGGCCATTGCACTATCAGTGGCATTGCCGATACCAATGGTGGTGATGTAGCACATGGAAAATCGGTGGAAATTCCATTGGCAATGGCGATGCCAATGTAAATATAGCAGTGGTAATGATAATGGTGATGGAAACAGGAACGAAAACAACAACGAAAACCATCACTAACAGTGATAGTGATAAAAAAAATATGAGGTAAAAGCTCTTCAGCAAAAACGTTTTTCAACTTGGTTATGAGCCCAGATGCGGATAAAACATTTTTGAACGAGTTTTTGGAATCAGTTTTAGCTGGTTCGTGACAACGTTCTTAGTCAAAGCGTTGACTAAAGAAGGTAGTCACGGTTTTAAAGTTGTTTTAGTATATGAGCCCACGTCTTCAGTGTTGATTAATCAGTTTCATCAAAAGAAAATTATGAAACATTATTTTCCCTTGGTTTAACGCTAATCTGCTCCTGTTTGCTATCACAATTCAGCCAGAGACCCCAAAAATACATAAAAATGTTTTAAACATATAAGTAGAAAAATAGAAGGCTTAGCGAGTCATTTCGCACGATACTTAATGATTTGTTCGGAGAAGAAAATTAGTCACGGTCTCGGAAGATTCTCGAATATAATACCCTTTCATAATGCCAATATCGATTCATAAGTCTTCAAGATTTACGACGGCCTAGAAATGAGACGGAACATAAGTTCGGTTTCGTCTCCCGAGTAACCGTGACAGCAGTCAGGATCTTATGGAAAATTTTCACATTCGGTAGATTATGGAAGGCAACTTTCTCCAATCATTTCTCATAACTTTAAATTTGCGCCGAAGAAAGTATCTTACAAGTAATAACACTTATTTAATATAGCTATGTGGTTTAAAATAAGCCCTGCCAAGTTTGATTCGACTTTTCTGGTGATGCAACATTTCACAATTACATCTCGCTCGCCGGTTATTGCTTTCAAGGCAAGAAATTGAGTTCCAGGGCAACCAAGCCTATACCTGACGGAATGTTAATGGTTTGGACATTATATACAAGAACTGTTTTCATTTTCGCCTTTTAGTTTAAAAAAAAAACGCGTTATCGCTCGATTTTAGCCGCCGACGGAGCGCAGTAAATAAGTTTAGAGTGATTATTACCCGAGTATGATGAAATAAAGAAATTTTTTCTTGTGATTCTCTAGAGGACAATTAGAACAGTTTACCACTTGAAAACAAAAGAACTTATTTCAGCAGACTTAAGATGTGCTCTTAAAGATACTTGCCACATTAGGCTATGGACGAAAACTTTCTCTTATATGAATACCAATAAAGGCTACAGAGATGCTTCTTTTTGACCCTTGTTAATTTGATCGTGTCTTCTGTTAAGATTAGTTGCATAATAGTGTCTTACAATCTAAAAAAAACAAAAGGTCTTAAGTGTCAAAGGTTAAGCAAAAAACCCGAAGCATGTCCTACTATGTTGTACAAGTGAAATATGCTTTACTTTTGGACCCACTAATCGTGCTGTGCTAGCGTGTAAAATTGTGAACGAACTAATGATCAATAAACTCAAAGTCCTCTAGAAAATCACAATCGTTCTACTATGAAACTGATACTCAAGAAAAAAGGTTTTCCTCTCAAGCAGACGTCATAATAAGTCTCAAGTCTCGCAGTGTTACACACAAACTTGAACATACGAAAACCGCCAAACTTAACGCTATCATGTATTTGACTACAGTTATTAATCATGATGGGTGTTTACTATCTTTCCATCGGTTTGCTATCACAACATATCGAGACACGGCCGATGTTCATAAGTTTATTTGGGCCATAATCAACTATTTAGATGCAATCAATGGAAAAGAACAAGTTCCGTGAGGTTATATTTAGCGAAGTGATATTTAAGTGAGCCCTTTCCAAAATGACAAACGCAGAAAACTCTACATTGAGAATTTCAATTCAGTGCAACTTCTATCTGAGAAATAACGGCCTGAAAGCAAATTATTGTATCCATAGGGTTTTAAATGACTGGGGATTAAATATATCCAACTCAGCCACCCAAACGTGGGTAAATTTTCTTTATACTCGCAATGACATTACACCTGAGCAAACGAATGGCCAAAATAAAACGCTTAAAGGTGGTCAAACACAGAATTGCAAAATATTTTAAGAGCTGGTATGAATTTCTGTTAGTATTCTAACTAATTGTTTAATCAAAACTGAGTGTTCAGCCTAAAAACAGAAGGGTTCGAATCCTGTATGATTGTAACTTACCTCCAGAAAAATATCTTCCCAAAACTATGTTTGAGATCCACACGCACAAACACAATGCAAAGACTACCAAAATAATGCGATCCTTTCGAATGCCTCTTGAGTAAGATTTTCCAAACATGATGATCAAATTGCAGCTTGCACTTGCGGGTTGTGAATGGTTTTTTTTTTTTTTTGACTTATGGACAACTATAATAAATAAAATATATTCACAAAAGATAATTTTATGTAAATATTTGCCTCGCTCTCAACTTAGTTGTCGAGTCTTAATGAGTTTACGATTCTCTTATTAAACATTCTAATAGTTTATGAATGTCATTAACTGTATTAGCCTCGAAAGGAAAACAGGTTGATAAACACAGGCTTTATATTACTCGAAGTTTATTTTTCCAGGGAAAGTGTTCGAGAGCCTTCTAAAACAAAAGTGCCATTAATGGCTAAAAACCACCGGCCCGCTATTCAAAGTTCTCTACATAAGTTGTGTAAATTATGGCATATCATCCTGAGATAGTAAGATCCACATATTACCAAGAGAGGTCCGCGCGGGTAGAGAACTTGCTTCATGTTATGGAAACCGAAAAAGCTCTGGATGGCTGGATAGGCCATTCGGTTCAAGTACGGACTTTACCAACTGGTGCTTGGAGTGGAAAAACCTTGACACCTTTGACATTATAAAAGCAAACGAGTCTTCTGATTGAAAATTTCCTGTTACTTCATGCATTTACTACTCCGAACTATTCCTCGTTTCCCACTTTTTTTCTGTAAGGTATTTGCTTTAAGCAGTTTTCAACGTCTTTTGGAATCAAGTCTTTCTTCAAAAAAAAATCCACGTTAGTCTTGATGTTTTACCTGACGTTTGCAACCGTAGTATGTCAGTAAACCTGGGATGAAAGATGCATACTGTCAATAAACAATTTGTTCCATCATTGAAGCCCCTTTTCCGTTTTGAGTTTTTTTAAAGTCAATTCATCAGTCTCTAAATACTGCATTAACAACTTACTCTGCTTTCTTATGAGAGACCTTTTTTCTTTAAAATACCCTCTAAAGGCCCGGGAAAGTCATACCCAAACAATTTAAAATCCAAATCAAACAGTTTCTTCAGCTGAAAGATTTCATCTACCGTCAATCGGGAGTAATACTCCAACATGTAAGGCGAAGTCTTGGACGGGTGATAATCAGGAAATGTTACGTAGCCATCGACGCCAATAATCTTCAGGAGCGTTGGTGCCTCCTCGTCTAAATTCTCAAAGTGACCAATGAAGTCATAGTCCACTTCACATGGACATATCTGCTCGTATGATCGCCAATGTTGATCCTCGATACCACGATCTTTTTGTTGCGTTGCGTTGGTTTCAATAACTCTATTTACAAATGCTGAAAATGAATGTTCTTTTTCTTTTGTTATTTCTCGCTTTGTTTTTTCGGGGAGAAGAAATCTTCTGAACCACGTCTTTTTAACTTTGTCTCGATATGCTGATGCCAGCCTCGCAAAAGGCTCTCTGACAAACATAGCTTTGTAGTAGGTGCTCAATATCTTCTGCCGCTCAAAAATGCTGTAGTCCTGAAGCCAAGAAAATAGTTTCTTTCGGTGTGGGATTCCTTCTAGTTTTTCGCCATTATTCTCAGCACTATAAAGGATTCGCTTCCAAGTTGTACATGAAACTTTGGGGATGAAGCAAAACACTAGTTTCAACTTTTCAATAACGATGAAACGAGTAAAGTCAGCTTCTTGGAGAAATAAAGGATTTGGTGGCTTCTTCAGGCATTGATCGTGTAGAAGCTGTCTTCTTTCTGTCATAACCGAACTAAATGACGTCGATGGAGAATTGGATGTGAAGCCTATGAAAAGCGGACAAAAATAGTGATAAGTGCACGAGGTAGCAATAAAATAGTTGGTCAAGGCAGTGATTGATAAAGAGGCCACGGAGATGGCAATGGCCGCTGTACTGGCTATAGTGCTGCCGATGGTGATGATAGAGAAGATGCACAAAATCAATGAAAACTGCACTGGCAAAGGCGATGCCAATGTAATTGTTAAGCATTTTTATTTAATCAGGGTGTGCTTTGCTTGGAGAAAGATGTCTTAGGAGTTCTGTAGACACATTCAAATTATATGTCCAATCAGTTTGTTTCACGCGTGAACTGTTTCAAAGCGATTCTCATGTAACTTTCAGCGTTCTGCTTTCAAATCGTTTCGAAAAATTATAAAATGCGCTCTCAAAAAAGGTGACTGAGGAGCGTCTGTGGAGGATGATGCGGAATAGAAAGCAAGCAGGATAAAAACAATTCATAGAGAAAAACAATGAGTAAACGAAGCGGCGAGATTTGAACCTGCGCAATAATTTTTTCCGACCGAAAGAACAAGGATTTTAAATATGTATCTTGAAGAATTAATTCACTGTGTTCGAAGGAACGACAGGGAAGATAATGAAAGCTCAAGCCTAAGATGCTTTGTTTCAAGCATTGAGAAATGTTTTGTTATTTTTCACTTGCTGTCGGCAGTGTTGAATCGTTTCTACCGGCAAGGCAATACATCTTTCACGAGAGATTTATGAGATTTTGACCTAAATATCTTTTAACAATGAAATTTCATGAAAATGAAAGCGATCTTTGCAGTTATGAACATTAATACGAAGATCGCTTTCATATTCACGTCTTTATCCGCAGTTGACATGTATGATTCTCATCTATTCACGGTCATTTAATAAATTTCATTAAACAAGAATGTAATCTTGGTATGCATGTGGTATTTACGCACTCGTCAGTTTGTTTCAGAAAATTCCGACTGATGCGTAAATACCATACGGAAAGACTTCCCATAAAGTATTCCACATTTACTGCACGCGGTCAAATGTTCCGTCAGGGAGGCCTTTTCACACGACATTTTGAGTGTTATTTCGAATAAAAAACTAGCGTGGGAGTCCTTTAAGATCACCACGACGGTCTCCGACGATTGTCGAATATTCATAGTACCAATATCGATTCATCATTCTTTAAAATTTACGACGGCCCCGAAATAGAACAAAATAGACGATACACACTTGTTACTATAAATTCAGTCTCGTCTCCAGAGCAACCATGATAGTCATAAAGAACCTGCAGAAAGCCAGTTTGACTTTCGGTAGATGACGGAAGGCAACTTTTTCTGACTAATTTTCATGACTCTAGATTCGCGCCAATGAAAGTATCCTAAAAGGAATAAAAACACCTTATTCGATGGTTTAACATATGATATGCACGTTCAGTGCGGCCATTTTGTTCCTCGCTATTGTTGCACTATTCTAAAATGTCTCACGGTGGCATATTTTGCGCGCTCACGCGACCTTTTGCGTAACATGAAATAGCAGTGGAAGAATAAAGCGAATTTGAATTTTGAAGCGTGGTTCGAAACAAGCTCTGCGTTTCGCTCATTATTACTTCGTGGCAGGAGACGGAAAAAATGATTCCAGGGTAACCTTACCTATACTCGATGGAATTTTAATGTTTTCAACATAATTACCACAATTGTTCTTGCTCTTGACCATAAGCTGAAAAAAAAGATGCATTTTCTTTGCAAAAAAATTCGAAAATTTAGCAAAATGTGTTAAATGCCGATGAAGCGCTGGTTTTTTTGGTTTTCTTTTCGCGTGTACTAAGTTAAAAAGTCTGAAAATAATTTGAGACTATTTGTAAATAGATTAAGAGAGATGGTAAGTTTTGAGCTCGGTAAAGAAATAGAG